GTTTAATACTATAAATAATTTCAGAACAAAAATGTAATTGAATATGTACAAATGGAATTATATTTTAGATTAAATAATCGACATGTACTTGGAAAAAATAAGAACCCACCTTGAGTTCATCGAAAAGAAAGATTCCGTAACATAAAGGAGCGGTTTATCCGCTGTATTAAAAGTTTAACAATAAAAAACGTTTTCAGATAATTGCAAATCGACCCGTGAACATTTCTTAACTTTAGCTATTAAACCCCATAAATAATATTTGTTATAGCCGCCCCCCTTTGTTTGTATTAACAAAAGAAGCAGATTTTTTTTGTAATGTTCTTTACTCTACAGTCATAGGGGCCACTGATGCACTCAATGAGACCAAAATCCAAAACTTTACTAAATGTGAATAATGGTTTTGCTAACCAGAACACTGAACACCCTTCCAAATGGGGTAAATTATCTAAAATGCCATCCACATTAAAATCTCCAACTAACTTATTTATTTGATCATAGCACTGTATAGGACTCTAACTAGCAATTGTCTAGCATGATCTACGATTCCTCACACGTCCTTCCAAATAGTAACAAAGTGTGGTTTTAGATTTCTTACCCAAATTAAATTTTCAGTACTATGTCTGGCATATATTTGATGGAACTTTAAAATAAAATGAGTAATTTCAAGTGAAACTCCACAAGTTACTAAATCAAATTTTAGAAAATAAATGTCAAGGCAACAGTCAATATGAATTATCAACTTTTTTTTGTTTACATATAATTTTTTTTATAATAAGTCTACACTTTTCATTGAATATAGTAATAATATTTCTCAAAGTGAAAATGAATAAAGCTTAATGATATATGTATGATCTGTCACGTAAACTTATAGAAACAGTAGCACATTCTGACATCAACCAACTTGCCTTAATTTACTATAACCTTCAAATTAATTTTTAATTTTCATTTTCTCGTTCAAAAATAAAATAAAAATAAAGAAAACTCCATTTTCCTTTATTTAAGGAGGCTGCATTGCTTGCCCACTGACTCAACTCAAGAGTGAAGAAAGAAAGAGACAAAAAAAAAATGGGAGGCAAAGGTGTGATGATGGTGGCGATACTTTGCCTTTGGGCACTCTCTGCAACATCTGAAGCAGTAACAGAGGAGGCTCCAGGTTTGATGATGAACTTCTACAAGGACACGTGTCCTCAGGCCGAAGACATCATCCGTGAACAAGTCAAACTCCTCTACAAACGCCACAAGAACACCGCTTTCTCTTGGCTACGTAACATCTTCCACGACTGCGCCGTCGAGGTCTGATCTCTTTCCCTCTCTCTCAATGATCTTTGTGTTAAAACATAGCTAAAGGTTTGATCTTTCACTTGAAACAGAGCTAACGATTTACTCTGTTTTTGCTATGTTTTTTGAGTGTAACAGTCGTGTGATGCGTCGCTTTTGCTGGATTCGACAAGAAGAGAGCTAGGAGAGAAAGAACATGACAGGAGCTTCGGACTGAGAAACTTCAGGTACATCGAGGAGATCAAGGAAGCTCTAGAGAGGGAGTGTCCTGGTGTTGTCTCATGTTCTGACATTCTCGTCTTGTCGGCAAGAGAAGGAATCGAAGCAGTAAGTTAAAACAAGTCGTGCCGTTTCTGTCTCTGGTTGTGAAACTGCATGTTTTCTTTTTAGGGAATGTTTTGTAAAGTAGGTTTGTTTGTGTAGGTGGGAGGACCATATATTCCTTTGAAGACAGGAAGGAGAGATGGACTTAAAAGCAGGACCGATATGCTTGAGTCATATCTTCCCGACCACAACGAGAGTATCTCCGTCGTTCTTGACAAGTTCAAATCCATCGGAATCGACACTCCCGGCCTCGTTGCTCTCCTAGGTACCTTTACCTTTCTCTTCCTTGTTTGTCACTCACTAGTCTCGGGTAAAAACGTATCGCTCGAAATTCGAAACTGTTGACCATCCAAGAAATGTTGTTGGCTTGTTGCTAACGCCTTAGTTCAAGGGTATTTTAGTTAATTTCCTCATGCATTAAAATGAAACCATTTAAGCTAATCTTGTCAAATCACGAAAGTAGTATGCTATCTGAGTCGGAAAGTTGAAAGTTATCCTTACCGAACTATCACTAGTCCTCAGAAAAAGACAAATTTATTCTTGTTTATGCTCCGGCTCAATGGTCTAGCAGAAGGTTATTCTGGTCAATCAACTCATGCATGCTTAAAAATAGTAATCAAACTAATTGACTTTACACTTATGGGATCTGAATTTAGGCGATCGGAATTTAAGTTTCTTGTTAGATTTTTTAAGCTTCGATATTGAAAGATTTTGACTTTTTGTTTTGACACGTGCAGGGTCACATAGCGTGGGAAGAACTCACTGTGTCAAGCTGGTCCATCGTTTGTACCCTGAGGTGGATCCGTCCTTGAACCCGGACCACGTCCCTCACATGCTACATAAGTGTCCTGACTCTATCCCTGACCCAAAGGCGGTCCAGTACGTGCGTAACGACCGTGGTACCCCCATGGTGCTAGACAACAATTACTACCGTAACATCCTAGACAACAAGGGTTTGCTTCTTGTGGACCATCAGCTCGCACACGACAAAAGAACTAGACCAATTGTTAAGAAGATGGCTAAGGACCAGGCCTACTTCTTCAAGGAGTTCACTAGGGCAATCCAGATCTTATCCGAGAACAACCCTTTGACTGGCTCTAAGGGTGAGATCAGGAAGCAATGCAACCTTGCAAACAAGAACCATTGAAGTTGGAAAAAGTGAGAAAGGCAGAGGCTCTGGTGTGTTGGGATCTCTGCTTGGTACGAACTAAGAAGAATAAAAAAAATCTTTTAAGTTAAATCAAGGAAAGGGTGATGATGAATGCATCATGGTGGTGACCACATCCTTCTTTTGTGTGTTCTTGTTGTAGCCTTAATGCTTTAATTATGATGTTTAGTGGCTTTGAGTTATTTAATCTAAATGTTGGCTCTTTGTTGATTTTGGGTTTGTGGTGGGGATGAGATAATGATAATGGAAAGGATGTATGATATGATGAATGGTGTTTGGGTAATTGTATGACGATGTAATAATAAGTAAACAGTTGGAATATTTTGATATAATTTCATGTTGAATTGATATACATGAATATGTAGAAACAATGAAATAGCTATAACTTGTTCAACATGCATGATATATATATAAGTACTGTGTTTGGTGATATCGATCTATTTTACTGATCTCACTAAAGATTTTTTAAAATTTATAGTAAATGACATGAATAATTGAATATGATATGACTCATGAAAAAGATTCTAAAACTAATAATTCAAAATAAAAGAAATGGGCCACAAGCTTAAAGAGTAAAGCCAAAAGTCGCAAGAAAAAATATCTAACGGATGAGATTCTCTCTACAAGAGTATAATCTGTACTTAAACACTTCAATTAGAAAATACATAGAAAACGTTAGGTAGACCTTAACTTTTATTATAACTAGACGTGAGAGATAATAATGGTGGTGGCGTGTAGACAACAAATGCAGTGATCTATGGTTAAAGACTTAAAAGATATTTTCAGTTTCAATTCCGGAAAATTATTTAAACATCCACAGATACACTTGGAGCAACATTAACGTATTATGTACAGTGTCAGCGAGTTTAATTAGTTTTCTACAAAATAATTGAGATAGAAAATTATACGTTGCATCTACTTGTTAGCTTCTGTATTTATTCATTTGTATTTGTTAGCTTGTGTATTAGATTCTATTTCTAGCTGTCGATTTTGAATCCATTTATTTATCAGCCAATGTTTCAAAATGCGCTAGACTAGGCAGTGAAAGTCTAGCGCGCCCAACTCTAACCACTGGCATTTGGATGGGGTCTAGGGGAATAATTTTCTTATAGAAATATAAAGAGAAGTGATGATCCCATTCATGCTCTTTCTACTTTGATTTGTGTTGGTCAAGAAAACAACTGTAAGTTCATCACCTGTTCTGTGTTTTTGTCTATGTATCGGTGGCTTAAATTAAACCTACGAAGTATGAACCATGCGGAACTAAACGTACCAGCCTATTTATTTTATGACTTGTTAAACGGGCTACATTGCTCAATTTTAAATGATAGGCTAACATACTTCAGGCCCATGACAACATCCCTAATATTTTTGATGCCTTATACATCAAGCAAAGCAAATTGCTCATCATTTACTTCAATCTTTGTTTCACTTAATGTTATATCAGTGAAAAAGCTTCTAAGACTTTTAATAATTTGATCTTTGTTACACGGAAATGCATCCACATTGAAATTTTTAATTATCCCTTGGAACATTCAATAAAAAGGAAAAGGAAAAATGTCATTTATTCACATGGGATACTCTTCATCTTTAACTTGACATGAAACTTTCGATGATCATCTTCATGCTTAAACGGAAATTGTATCAAATCATCCGAAACTAAACTAAATTGCATAAGATTTATTTTATTGGAACCAGATTTTATTTTGTTAATGATGTTTCTATCTCTTAATACGAACTTGTAAATCATAACTTAGTTCTAACGGTGGCAAACGGGTCAACCCAGTAAGGCCAACCTTGATCATAAGTTACTAAATTTGGGCTTAGTCCATGAGTTTTGATGTGTTTTTTCCAACGGAATGAAGCTGAAGATAAAACTTTGATCTCTTTGCAGTGAATTTGCACGTATAAACTCATTAATTGTGATGTTGAGATATTGACTTTGATCACTGCTTCCATGAAATTGCTTCCTCTCTTCCTTGTTTTTTTTTTTTCTTTAGGAAAATGAATACATCGGATTGTTCCCAGTCTCATGATCATAAAGAGTGGTGGAGCCATATATTAATTTTCAACTACATGACTAATACTGATAGTTAATTACAGTGATATCTTTTTAATGAGACAAAACTTCCACGAAGCTCTCTTGCTTGGATCAACGTTCTTAGTCAAATATATAGAGTCAACGTTTTGTGTCACTATATTCAATTATATAAAAGACCTTTGTTTCATTTTTTTCTCTACATATTTCTCTAGAAAGCTCCATGATACTCTCCACCATACACAAATGGATTCTTCATTTTTTCTTACCATTGTTATAGCTGCAATATGCTTCTTCGTGATTTTAAGAAAATTTAGATCCGAACAAGAAAACAAAGAAATCAATTCTCCTTCTTTATCACCTCCATCTTCTTTGTCTTACAAGTGGAAACACGACGTCTTTCCAAGCTTCCGTGGTGTAGATGTCCGTCGGGACTTTCTCAGTCATATTCAGAAGGAGTTCCAAAGAAAGGGAATCACACCGTTCATCGATAATGAGATCAAGAGAGGAGAATCCATTGGTCCTGAACTTATACATGCCATTAGAGGATCTAAGATCGCGATCATCTTGCTCTCGAGGAACTACGCTTCTTCAAAGTGGTGTCTTGACGAATTGGTGGAGATTATGAAGTGTAGAGAAGAGTTAGGTCAAAGTGTGATGGTCATTTTCTATAAAGTAGATCCATATGATGTAAAGACGCTGGCCGGAGAATTTGGCAAGGTTTTCAGCAAAACTTGTGCGGGTAACACTAAGGAGGACATTAAGAGATGGAGACAAGCTTTAGGAAAAGTGGCCACAATTGCGGGTTACCATTCAAGCAATTGGTTCGTATTTTCTATTTCTACTTGTTTTAAATGGTGGGAGACTTTAAATGGGTTTTTGGTTTCTGTTTTGATAAACTGACTAATAATACCAATCAAGATTTTGTTATTTAATTTACTAGAAAATTTAAAAATCATTTCACTTTGGTTTTTATCAAAAACTAAAAAGAAAGTCCAACAACCCAATAACTGTTTAGTCTATAATAGTAGGGGTTTTTACTCATTCTAACATTTTTTAGAAAAGATCTTGTGGATACTACCAGTACTAAAGATTGTCAATTTTTCCTTCTTGTCCATCGAAACTTTATCTATAGTGGTTTTAATGTATCAGAATTTTTCCATCAAACCTAACATTTGATAACTTGTTCATTAATTATTTGTTTGTTTAACACATCATGCATGTGATTCACATGTACTAGTTCAGTGCCTGTAGTAAACTAAATATAAGTGTTTAGTTAAAATTGACATACATATACCAATTTAAAGAGCTACATTTTGACGGACAACTTGTGATGGACAAGATTTGACAGACCAAAATGTATTATATATGGACATACAAATTTTTGATAGATAAGAGTACAAAAAACTGGGCCTTTCTACAAATATATTTCGATATAATAAACACATCTAAATATCTAAATATAATATAGGAAGAAATTCAAGAAATACTTACAATACCATAAAAAGAAAACAACTTTTAGTTTTAAAAATACAAAATGTCGGAAAAGAATACAGAGTGCCCAAATTTGTGGTATGTTTTTAAATTTTTAGGATTTGATTATATTTTGGGAAAAAACATATATGATATTTTGAGAAATATACATGATATTTGTTAGTTTTATACAATATAGAGCCCAAGAAAAACATATAATTTGAATGTACATGAGATTTTTCATGACTATTTAATGGATGTATTAATCTTTCCTTTTGTAAGGGATAATGAAGCGGCCATGATCGAAAGACTCGCCATTGATGTTTCCAATGAGCTGATTAGTTCTGCGCCATCTAGTGATTTTGACGGTTTTGTTGGAATGAAAGCTCATTTGGAAAATATAGAACCATTCTTACGCCTAGACTCGGATGAAGTCAAAATGATAGGGATTTGTGGTCCTTCTGGAATTGGTAAGAGCACCATTGCCAGATTTATATTTAGTAAATACTCTCATGAGTTCGAGCTAAGTGTCTTCATGGAAAATATCAAAAGACGTTATCCAAGACCTTGTTACGATGAGTACAGTATGAAACTGCAATTACAAAAGGAGTTTTTGTCTCAAATAATGAACCAGGAGGATATCAAGATTCATCATTTAGGAGTTGCAAAAGATAGGTTAAAATACAAGAGAGTGCTTGTTGTTCTTGATGATGTGGATCAGTTGGTGCAACTAGATGCAGTGGCACAAGAAACTGGGTAGTTTGGTCCTGGAAGTCGGATTATCATCACAACACAAGATAAAAGGCTTTTGAATGCACATGGGATTAACCATATTTATGAGGTGGGTTACTCACCTGAAGAAGAGGCTCTTCAAATCTTCTGCATGTATGCTTTTGGTCAAATGTCTCCATATGATGGTTTTGAGAATCTTGCTTGGGAAGTTACAAAACTTTCGGGTAAACTCCCTTTGGGACTAAGGGTAATGGGATCTTATTTCAGAGGAATGTCTAAGCATGAGTGGGAAAAGGAACTACCAAGGTTAAGGACTAGACTTGATGGAAAAATTGAAAGCATTTTAAAGTTTAGTTATGATGCCTTACGGGAAGAAGATAAAGATTTAGTTCTTTGTATAGCCTGGTTTATTAACAATGAATGGATTGAGAAAGTGGAAGAGCATCTCCCAAAGAATTTCGTTGAGGTGAGCCAAGGTCTTCACGTCTTAGCCGAGAAATCTCTCATGTCTATCAGCTTCGGATATATATGGATGCATAATTTGGTAGCACGTTTGGGTAGAAAGATTGTTCGTAAAGAATCCATTCATGAACCCGGGCACGTTTTGGTTGATGTTGGAGAGACATGCCAAGTTTTGAATAATGGTACAATGGTAAGTTTTCACATTAGTCATTCACCGAGTTTTCCTCTACAAAATTTGATTAAAACAAATTTTACTTATGTGTCTTATGCTTTTTCTTGGTTGAAAAGTTTGATATTGAAATTGAAGAAGAAATAATGATATATATATATATACTCCTTTTTGGGGCTCAGATATTAGTAAGGTGATCAACTAACTGGAGGAATGTGTAGGCTAGACATATTACCACCATTAACCAAACTGGCAACACCAATTTTTACATGAAATAGTGAGATAACCCTTGACATCTTCAGACAACTCATCAAGTCTTCCTTGAGATTTGTCCTCAGAATCAGCAAGAGTATCTGCTTTCCGCTTGTTCTGGTCAAAGACATTGTGAGCGGTTTCCTCCATCAACACTTCAGATACCCAGTTTGGTGATAAGTACTTACAAATCTTTATGAGCAATTACAAATCTTCAGTTGAATATTTTTCATCTTTCCATAAGTACTTTTGTTTTGTCTAACGTAAAGTATGGAATTTATGGGTCAAAAAAGTTATAAATACAAAATAAGAAAATATTATCACACTTATCAAGTCTTATGGGCGAGACTAATCAAGTCTTATGGGCCAAGTCAAAATATCAAACGAGCCCAGCTTAGGGGCTTATGATCCAGGTCGGCCTGACCGGGTTGACCCGTTTTCCATAATTAACAAAAACATTTTCTGACTTATCACTATTCACTACTACTACGAACGTACAAAATTTATATACTAAACCCTAAATTCACAAAGTCTCTCATCCGCTGCCGACGAAACCATGTCCGATACTGACGAGACCATGTCCGTGTTTGACAAATATGTGTCCGATAATTCGCTGTCCTCCGCCGAAACCATTGATCCGATCGAAAAATACCTAAGTAAGATCTCTCTCTCTCTCTCATCTTAGTCGAAATTGTTTGTCTATGATCTGGATTAGCTTTCATCTGATCGATCTGTCATTAGTAAACTAGCGTATATCTAATCGTCGATCTGCCATAGTAAATCCCTTTATTATAACTTATTTTATTCACGTTCTGAATTTTTTTTCCGTCTCGAAACCTGGCAGATGCTGACGCATGCATCTTTTGGGACATGGGGAGTTACCCAATCCCTAATGGTGTGGATCCTTGTTTAGTACTAGAGAAAATCAAATCAGAGCTCGCGGATATAGGTTGTCGTGTGGATGTGTCTATCCACGCTTACGGTAATAATGATACATTCTCGGATGGTGAATTACTATCTAAATTTTCAGCTGCCGAAATCAAAATCGATCTCTTACCCGAAGGTGATATTCTCCTTCTCTGTTTATTTATTTTTTTGACATATACATGTCCCTAATCTAGATCTCCGTTGATGTACTTTCCAGGAGATAAAGACGCGGGAATTTATTCCATGTTAGTGGACATGTTCCAATGGGCACTGAAAAGTTCTTCAACAAGAAATTTGATTGTCCTCTCAAAAAACATGGATAATCCAGACGTGCTGAAACATTTTGACTCTTTGTGGAGGTGGAAATGTGGTCTTATATTATCACCAACATGGGTACCTGAAGTGTTGATGGAGGAAACCGCTCACAACGTCTTTGACCAGAACAAGCGGAAAGCAGATACTCTTGCTGATTCTGATCACCCATCTAAAACCCGTAAAGTCACAACAGAGTACATCTCATCATCTGCAGCGCCTAATATTTTTCTCGGTAACTCGGCTGAAACCATGTCCAGATTATTCTCCATTCCCACCACCGCTCGTGAAATGTGTAAGTTGTATCCCTTGCTCGAAATTGTTTGACTATGGTCTGGATTCATCTCTATCAATCTGCCATAGTTAATTTTAATGGATCTATTTTCTAGTATAATTTTACTGATCTGATGTTTCGTAATAGTTTTTTTAATCGTTGTCCGTTTTGACCTCACAGGTCGTGAGACACTTGTCCTCTGGGTCATTGAGGATGTAAATTTGCCTGCAGTTACCGAGTTTTGGTCGAAACATGACGAAATCACTTATGCTCTCCTCAAAGAGGGTTACCGTGGGAAGGTGAGAATCCAGGGTTACGTTGTTAATCCGAAATTGCCAAAACGATATTTTAGGGATGCTTATGGGGATCACGGTATCACAATCTATTTGAATCCAGAAGAAGGTGATGAAAGTATAAGATATAACAGGATGTTACTACACCTTCTTTATTGGGCACACATGATGGAATCCCAAAGTAATTTGGTGGTACTCTCAAGAAACCAAAACTTCGGACAAGGCACCAAGTTCGACCGTGTACGTGAGACTTTGGAAGAGTTAAGTATCAAAGTTGCCGTATTAAATCCTGATAAAAGTCGATGACTATGTTCTCGACCAAGACGGCCTCTTGCTCTCATGATGGGACTAATGTTAATTTCAATGCTTTTATGATGGGAGTAAAAATATTATTAGGACATCTTTTGCTTTAAAATTGTGTGTACAAGACTATTCTCGAATCAAAAACTCATATAACCTTTGTTTTTGCATCGTATGTTACTTCTTCTGGTTTCTTGAAATTCGATCCTTAGCTGCTTTGTTTTTGTAGTTTTAACTTAAGAGCTAGCTTCTTAAGCTTGTTCATAGGAACACAAAATTATATCAACTAGCAAAATAGCAAAACCTCTGTTTTCAAGCTTACCACTATTAGTACTAAAACATCACTAAATGAAACAAGATTCTAAAACATTTGCGTATGTATAACACTAAAAACCAGAAGAAGAGGATTTGATTACACAAACTTACCTTCAGTGAACACAGACAATCCAAAATCAGTAGCTTTAAGCATAGCATTCTCATCAGTACTAGCGAGCAAGAAAATAGTATCCAGTTTAAGTCACCTTCTTCAATGAACAACACAAATAGTATCCAGTTTAAGTCAGCAACTCTTTTGCACGGTCGTAGGCTATCTAATTAATTTTAAGTTCCTCTATCAAGGCTTTTCGATTTATCAGTCATTGGACTGGAAGAAGTTTCCCTTGTGTCGGCAGTGTGATACCACTTCTCATCATCGCACAAAATTCTTCATAGTTTATTCTTCCATCCTGCACAAGAGACCCATTAATCTCAATCTTGGCTTAAGAATTGTTCATAACTTATTTGGTGATATGTAGAGGGAAAACAAAACTTACATTATCTGTATCGACTTCCGCTATGACTTCTTTGATGCTAGCTTCATCTCCCATACCATACTCTTTCATGGCTGACTCCAACTCATCCATTGTGATAAACCTGTGTTAAGAAAAATCCAAATTGGTTTCTTAAAGTAGCTCCAAGTCTATATTTACGTTGTTCCTCAGAAACCAAACTTACCCGCTGTTGTCTTTGTCGAAGTATTGGAAGGCTTTGAATACGTGTTCATCTCGATCAAATCTGTATCTATGCATCGTCGCTGAGATAAACTCGATGTAGTCGATTGTTCCATTACCATCTACATCAGCCTGAACCATATATAATAAGGCTATTCAGGTTCCATCTTTTTTTAGAAGAATAAGAAACATTAGAAGCAGAGCAAAGAGGATGGAAATACTCACGGCTTCCATGAGTTGCTTCACTTCAGCTTCAGTGAGTTTAGAGCCAAGTTTAGCCAGCCCGGTTTTCAGTTCTTCGTAAGTGATTGTGCCGCTTTTATCGGTATCCATATTCGTAAACATGGTTTTAAGACCTTTAATTTCCTCTTCTGAGAGACTCTGCAATAACCTAACAATATCAGAAGCATAACCAATGATTAGCCAAAACAAAAGAGAATGTCCAACTTGCAGAAGAAACGTTTGTAGTTTTTACCTTAAGAGCTAGCTTCTTAAGTTTGTTCATTGCTCGGAATTGCTTCATCCGAGATAACACAGCACTATCAATAGGCTTGTCGGGTGCTTCTCCTCCTTTAATCCAAGGATGTTCTTAAAAAACACCACAAGGATCACTACAGATTAGTAAAGCACTGAAAAGTAAGTTGACTACAAAACCGCACTTTAGAGAGACCAAAGGGACTTTACCAAGAGCTTGTGCCGCTGAGATTCGTTGCTTAGGGTCCTTAGTAAGCAACTTCCTCACAAGGTCTTTAGCACTCTCAGATATAGAAAGCCATGGTTGGCTCTGGAAATCAATTTCTCCCTTTATAATCTCATCAAATATCCCCTTCTCAGTTTCTACAATGTACCAACAACAACAACACACATAAACAACATAACTAAAAGGATAAACCAAATCAAACAATTGGTCAGATTTTATTACCAGCCCAAAAAGGAGGCACACCACAAAGCAAGATGTATAGAATAATCCCTGCACTCCAAATATCTATTTCTTTTCCATAACTTCGTCTTAATACTTCAGGAGCAACATAGTCAGCACTTCCTACTATATCCCTGTAAACTTTTCCTGCAATTTTTGTTTTACGGTTTAGAAACAAAACACATCAAGCATATGAACACAAGATTATATCAACTAACTAAACTGGCATAATTTGACAATAAGAAAAGGAAAAGAACACACAAGTTCTATAATAATCCATTTACACACATTACCAAATTCACACAGAACTTGCAAAACCTCTGTTTTGAAACTTACCACTATGTACTCAAACATCACTAAAAGACTCTTAAGATACATACTATTCTTGACAAAATCTATATCCACAACACAACTCCAGAATCTTAAATCTAAAACATTTGCATATGTATAACACTAAAAAACAGAAGAAGAGGATTTGATTACACAAACTTACCTTCTTCAATGAACACAGACAATCCAAAATCAGTAGCTTTAAGCATAGCATTCTCATCAGTACTAGCGAGCAAGAAATTCTCAGGCTTAAGATCACGATGTATCACTCCCATGAAATGACAAATCTGAACAGCATTCAAAATCGATCTAATAACACCAGCAGCTGCTTTCTCAGAGTAATGTCCCTGAGCTAGAATCCTATCAAACAATTCACTACCATCACACAACTCCATCACCAAATGTATCGATTGTCTATCTTCATAAGCACCTTTGATCTCAACAATGTTCTCTTGTACAGACAAATACATCAACTAGGAAAGAGATGCAAATTTCGAAGATAAAAGTTTATAAACTCAGGAGAGGCTATTACAGTGAAACGGCCCGAATTTTGGTTTGAGCTTTGCAGCCAAAATTTTCAGAGCAGTTGATTTTCCAATACCATTTGTTCCAACCAACCCTAGCACCTGCCCCAGCCTTGGAACTGGGAGCCTGGAAGTAAAGACAGAGTTTCCATTGTCTTAACACTACAAGAGGGGTAGAATATTCAGGAAAATAATAAGATAAACGAACATGTGAAACTTAAAAGTGTTTGGCCCATAAGTCTCTTGGAAGATTGATAATCTGAATAGCTTCAAACGGGCATTTCTACAATTGTGCAACAGCAGAGTAGTACATTCAGCGTCCCAGTAATGGGGACAATTCCAGAGGCATATTCGAAATTGGAAAGAGCCTATGCATACATACACCTTCACACAAATACCGCAACCAATGCACAAATCCTCTGAGATAAAAGCAAGCTTGGAACCAATAGTCACCTCAATACAAAGTTTTCCTGAGATAAAAGGCAAGTTAATGCATAAGTGGCCCTAAAAATTTGTAGAGCTACAACAAAAAGTCAAACTTCAAGTACGACTATAAGCTAATGGCTTCACATAAACACCTAACCATCCTCTGTGTACTAATTGGCATGACGCACATGACATAGCTGATCAATTACAGTACAGCAATAATAAACCCATATGAAAGACCACAAATTAAAATTGGGAATCAGAATATACACCTGTCTTGACCACAGGACAACTCTTCTTGCACTCTTGGCGAAATTTATTTGGCTAGCAACAGTCAGAACTCACAATAGCAATACGTGTCAATCGACCTGCCATCTGTCAACAGACCTACAAAATACATGAAATCATATAGTTTAACTGCCTGAGGAAGATACAACATATTCATACACAATTTGATAAAAGAACACAACTGGTTTTATTCCTACAGAACCCATTTCTTTACGCAGGATCATGAACACCAATCTATTAACAAGTATCACTTCTATGGAAACTAAACAAATCGATTTAAATATACCAAATGGAGATGTTACGCTTAGGCAAAGGAACGAAATGAACTACATAGGAAAGTAGCACAAAAAGAATATCCAAAGACAATCCACTTACAATCAGAGCCAGTAATAATAATAACAATCCATTTTCCCGCTAATTCACTTCGTCTTCCTAATCACTAGCGGCCATATTGGGCTTGCTTTTCCATCTGGCATCTTCTCCCAATCCCACACGAAGTTTCCAGTGTGAGTAAATGCTTCATTCGTCTTGCCGAGTATGGCTAAGAACACAATGTAATTTTTTGCTTTCAGGAACTCCATGGAGAGCTTAAAATCGGCATTTCTCGAAACGAGAAGGACAAATCTTGATGGTGAACCGTTGAGTACGTGGCGTTGGAGTTGTTGGAGGATCATACGATCAGCTACCTCCCTAAGTCGCATGTAGTAATCTCCAAAATCCCCCACTTCGCGGTCACCCTTGCAGACAAAGCAATAACGACCGGGTATAACAGAATCATCCATATGAAAACCCATCTCATGAAGTTTCGCTCGATGACCTTTAACAAAATCCAGATTCGTGTTACCAGCTCCGTACTTTCGTTTTGCCAAATGTAACTTAGGATGTAATGTTTGTAGAGACGAATTGATGTTTGCCTCTAACTGGGCCACTTGATCAGACCTGATTGGGGAATTCTCGAAGTCCCATAGAAAAGGTACTTCGAAAAGTGGATCCTTTTCGGCTGAAATAAAAGATAAAAAAATTGTTAGCATGCTTCTGAAAGTAGCTTTTTGGTTTGTGGTTCTATGCTATCTATCACATACCTTCAGATTGAAGGTCCTTCTTTTTCTCTGGTGGTTGGATGGGGAGAATATTTGGTGGTGGGCGGCTGAGCATTTGAGCATACGTAGCTAAAATCCCAGAAAAACAAGAACATCAGCATAAGAAGTTATATCTATACCACAATCTACTTATGAAAGTAGCCATTCACACACCTTTTTTAGGAGAAGCCATTGATGCTCGTGCTGTAGGGCAAACAACAGAGTTAACGAAACAACAGCTGCAAGTAAAAAAATAAAAACAATGTTTTCAGAAACATTAATAGAGAACCTCTGAATTTGGTGAAAGATCGGATTCAGATATGGAAATCAACATTGCTAGTCTAGAACTGGTATCTAGACCAAATTAGAAACTTCTACGAAACCTAAAAAAGAATGTCATGACACAATAATGCCAAGATCTTATTATCAGTTTGACAAGAGAAACCTTCCAGCTCAATTTACTAATTCTCTATTCCAGATTTGTCTGCTCTTATGACATTAGAGTTGCTAAGTGACGAACTATTCCTGATCATTGTGTTGCAAAAGATCACACCAAGTTTGAATTGAACGACGTGAAGCATAGCAATAAGAGGGTTCCGTTTTGCAATTCATCAAGAAACAACATTCATGAGCAAATTTCGATACCACCCAAGAGAAAATTCAACCGAAAAAAGACAAAATGGAGCTGAAATTGAAACCAGAGATACAGAGAAAACTCAACAAAGTAAGCTAAAACGCGAACCTAAACGAAGCAGTAACGTGAAAATGGGCAGAGAATGAGGCAAATCAATGTTGAAGAAGATAACTTTCGACGGGATTTTGGGCGGGGAGAAGAAAGGCTCGGAGAGTGGATGACTAGCGAGTCCCCGTTGAAACCCTAATTCTCCGACTGGTCCAACTCAAAGCCATCTCCGCCGGTCAGATTTTTAAGAGTCGAGAAAGATTCTTTCTTGAGATGGACTAATGGGCCTCTTAATTTAAAATTTGACCCAAGTTTAAGGGAGTATTCAGTATTCTTTACATATGGCCCAAATTTCTCTTAGTTTAAATTATGGCCCAAACGAAATTGTCAATCAATAAAATCTTTTTTTTTTTTTTTGTGCAAATCAATAAAATCTAACATTGCGACTTTCTTTAGTGTATTGTATTGTACAATCTGCAATTCTGCATAGTAGAAGTGCACTTTATTTTGTGATGGGAGACAAAGAATATGAATGCAAAAAAAAAAAAAAAAAAAAAAAGAAAAGAATATGCATGCACTAACTCCAAATCCACCATCTAGACGGAATATTTAATGACCAACAAAAGCAGTGTTTGTTTTTCTCTTTTGTTAGTCTTTCTTCATTTCACGGGATTCCATTTGTTTGTTTTTTTTGGTTATGGTGGATTCTATTTCTAAATTTACTATCTATCCACTATAAAACGAAAATATCAGATAAATAAATCCATATTTTCTCATAAATATCCTTCTAAGACACTATCTGTATAAACATTTTATTAGATAACAACCATGAAAATCGTATAAAACCAAAATAAGAGACAATTTATTCAAGAAGCCAGTTTACCTAGTTATATCAAAGGGGCCAATCAGGATCTATTGTAAACTATATCCAATTAGTCTCATTGTCATGGAAAAAGGTTTGATTTAATTTGACGATTAAAAAAAAAAAAAAACGGTATAAGAATATTTTTGGCTATATATAGGCTAGGACAAGCTCCATATGAATTGATTTGAACTTACGAAATATTTGTGATGTACTGTGATGTGTTTCAAGTTCTACCAAGTCTAGGAACATAAACAGTATTACTATAAATTTTAGATTAGGGATCCTAATTTGTGGTCACAACATAGGTATGAATATATATATTTAGAAATCTAGCTTTCATATATATACCAATGTTTTAACATAAAAATAAGTAGACTGAATAAGAGAATTTAGAAGAGCTGAGTTGGTTATTTCACATATAAGTGACTGAAGGGCCTAAAGGCTGAAACTTCTCATCAAGTTTTCTAAACACCATTTCGAGCTAGTAAATTGAAACATTTTTATATAAATTAAAATTCAACAGAAAAAAAAGAAACACAATTAAGAGCGACTTGTAAATACTGAATCCTACTCATTTCTTAAGGGGTTTAAATTATGTGTTAGAAAAATTATAACAAAGTAAGAAACTCATGAACCTCAAATCAATCCATCTTTACCATGATTATAATTTAGAGTGATATAGAAAGAGGTTATTAGCTTGTGACTTGTGTAGCACGTCATGAATTCTTTTGACCCTTGTACTTAGACAATCATTAATAATCACTTCATTTCTTTCTGGATACCAAAAGAAAGTCATATCAATCAATTATGATGGAAAAAACGTCAAGAGATTACTATGGAATTTGCATAGTTTTTTTTTTTTAACGATGACATGAGCTCTGAGCCTTTCTGACACATACTCCATTACACCATGACTGAGAAAAAATAACATTAGTATAACCTCCTCTTGCTTGTTTTTGAGATGAAATTTAAAATTGAGGATTAAAGATTTTCGTACCTTACTACAGCAATAGAATTTACTTTCTCCAGTTTCTAAAATGTATTTTAAGTACTTGAGAGACTGGGAGTATCCTCGATTCTTAACTCAGGGCCATGACAACTTTCTTGGCACCACACAATGAAAAAACTGGTTCAATTATTTAGAACTTAATGAAAAGTAATTGCTTCTATGAACTTTCATGTATGAGTATATGTTGATTTTTCATGAATGTCCAATAGCACTAAGCAGAATGATGATGGAAAACAGGCGAGCTTTTCTCCTCTAGCACCAACCACATGAATCATAGATACATCATAAGGAATATGTACGCAATATTTATGTATTTGCCCACTTGGTCATGTCTTAAGGAAAACTCAGAAACGTCTAAACTCAAGCTTGAGTGTTACATATTTTACTTTAATTCGAAAGAGTGATAAATAAGCAGGTCTTGGACCTCAAATTAAACATTTTTTTAGCTACAATAAAGCAAAGTGAAAAGGCCTTTCTTAGGTAAATATGGAACTGTAGTGTAAACATATATATGAGGCAATGAAAACCAAAATAATACAGAAGATATATCGAACCTCTAACTCTTTCTACTATATACTCCCTCCGTTTCATAATATAAGTCGTTTTGGAGAAAACATTTTGTTTCATAATATAAGTCGTTTTCAAGTTTCTATGCACTTTATATATTACTTTAATATTTTATAATTATTTATATTATGCAGTCTCTTTTATGATTGGTTGAACTTTTTAAAAGTAGATCTTCTTAATCTGCGTGCTTAAAGCTAAAACGACTTATATTATGAAACAGAGGGAGTAGTATATACAATAATGTTCACATGAAAATTAAATATCAAGTAAATATGGAGACAATGTCATCTCCAATTTAAGATTCTTTTAAAACTGAATTTTCTAAAGCCATAACAGAACATAACCAAAAAAAAAGAAAATGGAAGACCTATAAAAGATCCAAAAAGTTACCTCAAACAATATAGTATGATTCTTTTTTATTGAAAAACGCAGGCCAATCGCTCATTGAACTTGTAACATAGAGCGACAACATAGAACCTATACTGAGGTCCATCAAAACCAAGCACCTATCAGATAAGTGCCCCGACTTGGAACTATAACAATAGACCATATATGTTCTAGTAGGAGATCGAATATATATATAAAAATATTGTATGACATCATACATATGATTTAAAAGAACAGAACAAATGTCTGATTTAAAAAGAGACATACCCAAATTTTATGATTTCTCCCGGATCCCTCTAGCTTCAGCCTTCCTCTTTCTTGTATATTAACAATCTTGAAGAATCAGATAATAAATATTAATACATGCATACGATATATATGTGGATGTTAATGCGCACATGATCACACTGATTTAAGATGAAGATGAAAGCCATATCAATGAAGAAGGAAAAACAGATTCATACCTAAAAAATGGGTTCGATTGTCAAGTTGGAGACAAAAACCTAGCCGTGGTTCATCGGATAGGACTGTACATTGAAGAGAGTCTGGTTGGAGAAGTAGCGTTGAAATAGAGAGTTAGATTGGCCTTTGGAGGAGAGATGAAGCAAATAAATGATATGATTAATTGATTATGCAGTATTAAACGATTACAACGAATAAGAGGAAGAGGAGTCGACATTATTACGACAAACATGAAAATGAAGATTGTGTGGGATCAAATTTTGCCTTTCTCACGTGGCATATGGAAGAGAATTTGTTAGATGCTGATCTGGCTAGATTTAGAAGCTTCGAGTAGCATCTTTTATGATTTCATTAATCTCCTATTTAGTTATTTATATAGAGCTTCTTTATATATTCTATATCTAACCCTATTTATAGAGCTCCTCTCTTTGTGAAAAAAAAAAAAAAAGAGCTCCTCTCTCTTACGCACGACTCTTTATGCACTATAGTTTTTTTATTTAACACTTTTTTTGGGTATAACACTTTTTATTTAACAGTTCCTTCACCTTAAACAAATTCATAACTTTATTTGATCATGTCGACCTTCATTTCGGATACCAAGCGTTGTCACTTCGTATGGATATTAAATTATAACCTATATTTTATTTTTATTAAAATATGTATACTAAATTTTAATATTATTTTGGAATACGGAATCTAAAAATGATCGTTTACATAGTAAAAATAAATAATATCAAATCAAACTTTGAAGATGCAAAACATGGTAGCCTATCAAATCGGTTTACTTCAGACGAGGCGTATGCTATATAGACTTGTGTATGAGAGAACCTCTGAAAGTTCGAAACAAGCAATATTGTATGTATAGTTTGGAGTTCAAACTTGTTACCAAATTAAAGTGTATAAGACACAAAAGTTATTATTTAATATAAAGTTTTTTAAAAATATATATAAAGTTAAACACAATTTGGCCAATACAAAGTACGAAACTATTCGGGTACAAGTTGATATCAGGATTTAGACAGTTAGCTAATTCGATTTAATTAACTTTTGATTATAAGTAATTAACCATTGATTGATCCATCTATTATTATTTTTAATCACATTAATCTTTAAATAACTTTTCCTTCAATCGCGTCCTCTTAATTATAATAAGCAACATGCATCCACATGCCTACCGATCATCGTTTCACAATTTGTGTTGCACTGCTTTAATTGGGGGTTTTATAATAAGAAAAAAAAAGAAGAAAGAATACGAAAACGTTGTTATGAAGTATAATCATTTGTATATTACTCTACATCTTTTGTCAACGCGTATATAATACGTAATTGCGATTAGTATATAAGTCGATCACAATAAATTAATTATTAATACTCAATATATGTATTATTGCAAAACTTGATAAACACTTTAACTCGATCGTCATGACTCATAGGCAAATCAACTAAAAAGAATACTTCATCAGCAGTCAAAAGACTCGTCGTAATGTTTTTTTTTTTTTTTTTTTTTTTTTGACTCGTCGTAATGTTCTTACTTGTTATTAGTCAAATATTTATCAAAACATTGATATAAAACATTTCAATTTCTTACAATTCAGTTTATAACTTCTAAAGTTAGTTTGACTTTGGTACAAAAAGAATGGAGCTTAGACCATGACCACCGGTGATATTTTTTGAGTATCATTAGCCCAGAAAATATTTTATAATGGACCAAACCACTATATTGGGTCTGATACGTATCAGTGTACTGATACTTGTGATACTCAAATTTGTGTGACGTGTCGGTTTTCCATTGGACCATATTTTTTTGGTGAAACAGAGAAAAAAAAAAATCAATCTCCTCTCAAACTCGCGATCCGTCTCAAACTCGATCCAGAGAAAGAAAAATTCATCTCCTCCGCCGACCATCACCGCGAGCTTGAACTGGAAGCATTTGAATTTGGATTAGGATTTCTCCTCCGTTTTAGTCTCCGGCGGTCTGATTTCGTTGGAAGAATTTGAGGTCGGAGCTGGAGAGGGGATCTATTGAATTCGATGAGAATTGGTGGGATATGGTGATCGTTAAGACAAAAGGTTCCCATGGCGAGTTTTCTGGTGGGCTTCTTGTTGCCTTCGCTACTTCTGGCAGGTTGGTTTCTTTCTCTATCTTCTTTACTTTCACTCATTTACTCCTTAACATTGTACCTACTCCAGATTTTCTTATATAGTTGTTCAGTAGATGTTAAGGTTTATGATGTACGAAAAACAAGCTGCTTTAACTGATTAAGGAGTTGGTTCTGTTCTAGAGATATGTTTATGCCATCAAGTAAGTAATTTTGAATGTGGTAGGGATCTTCGAAAGATGAAAGCAGTTTGCTTAAAGCAGTTACAAACGTTCATGCCATTATAGATAAGGAAATTGCAGGAGAAATAAATCCAGAAAATGTGTATATCTGTGGATTTAGCCAAGGAGGTGATCTCTCTCTTTGCATCCCCCGTAGCTACACATTTCATGGATTTACTTACTGATCTAAGACTCTACAATGTGTTGATTTTCTTGCATTGCGACTTCTGACATAAGGTTTTCTGCAGGTGCATTAACCCTGGCTAGTGTTCTTCTTTACCCTAAAGCTTTTGGAGGAGGTTCAGTCTTTAGCGGATGGATTCCATTCAATATTTGGAGTTATGGATCAAACAAGGGATGCAGAGCTCTTGGTATTAAAAGGCAACATTGTACTCAAGGTAACAATATCCTAGTGCCTATCAAGATTAGAATAACATCAGCTCATCTCTGGTCTAGTTTCTCTATCATGAAAACCGGTTTTTTGGTTTAAACGTCTTGTTTGGTTATGTAAACTGGTACTTTTGTTAACTACAAACAGTTTGTACTTTGCATTGATTTGGAAAATTATATGTCAACACTATAATTCTTTTATTTAGTCAACAAATCAAGTGACTACATAACTCGAACTGTGATGTATTTACAAATGGAAAATCTTTTGTCCAAAACAGTAAAATTTCTTGTCAAAAGTATGCAATGTAAAAATTCTTCTGACCAAAACAAAACTTTCATACGTTCACTCAAATTAACAATTGATAATACATCTATGTCTGGTAAATAGCTACCATTGCCATCATATAATTTTCTTACAAATATTTTGAAATGGTGTTTCTGTAATTATACAAAATATTTATAGTAGAAAAGAAAGACAAAAAAAATCATATCATAATAAGTCACCATATAAAAACAACCAAAATAATCTATTTTTTTATTAATGATACCGATACCGGTCTCACCACTGGAAACAGATTTATTAGCAGTATCATTAAAAATTGCAAACAATAAACAAACATTAAAATTAATACTAAAAAATTCTTAATGATACTCTATGAGTACCAACTATCTGCATGCTCTTAGTGTTAATAAAATTTGACAAATACAATAACAAATGTAGAAGACACGTTGTTAGGTCTAATCTGATGAGCACGAAATCAGATGTTCATCAAACACGTACATCGATAGGAGAAAGTCAAAATAGAAAGTCAATGAGCATTAAGAAACATGTAGTTAACGACAATTAATGCACTTGATTAAGAAGAACTTATTAATTATTGATTTATTGAATCAAATGATTCATATCGAATTAAACGAAAAAGTGATCGTTATTAATAATTTCAGGACCATGATACATTGGCAATGCTTTCGGGTGCGGTAACGGGTACAGTACGGATCTGGGAGACTTTTTTTTTGTTTGTCGTCATAAATTAATGATTTAGTTCTAATTAATCATTAGTCAAATGTTAACCATTATGCTTTTGAAATTTCGGTTTAATCCCCCAATTAAAGTATTAAACCATTGATCTAATTCTCATTTACGATTTTAAATGAAGTACAATAATTAAGAGAGTAAAAGCCCAGTATTTACTACTAAGATAACTTTAGGCCCAATAAAATACCCAATTCGTAATTTTACATACTCCTTCGCCGGCACCGGGAAATCCGCCGATGTGATGGTAAGAAATAAGAAATTCTACGATTTCCCCCGAAAAGCCTGAGACTTTATTGTTCCGGCCACATATTCTACTCTCTAAGGCACTCAATTTATCGGCGGAATTCTCTTTCCGGCTATTGTTCTTCTAATTTACAATTCAGTAAGAGAAAACATGAGCGACACTTCACGTCCTCTGTCTTGTCTCCGGCTACTCCTATTGTCCATAAAGTGTTCGACGAAAAGCCCAAGATAGAGGATAGGACTGTGGAGTCGATTTTTTTGTTCTTACGAGATGTTCTTAGATCCTCCATGATGATAACAGAGACAGAGACTCCGAGGAGTGTCCAAGATTTAACTACATCTTCGAAGCTTCTGACGCTTTACGCGGGGGACTTAGTGTCTTCTTTGGGCCTATTTGGTGAATTGAAAGATAAAGATGTGATTGTTTGGAACAGTATGATCACTGGTTCGAATCAAAATGGTCATTACATTACATGGCAGCTGTTGGATTGTTCGTTGAGATGATTCAGAAGGGATATGAGTTTGATTCTACGACGCTCTTACTTGCAGCTTCGGCGTTATCCACGTTACATCTTTCAAAGAAATTTCCAATGGTTCATTGTTTAGCAATAGAGACTAGTTTGGTTTCGGATTCTAGTTTGTGCAATGCATTGATGATTCTATATGCAAAAGGCGAGGACTTGAGCTCCACAGAGTGTGTGTGTGTTCACGCATATGGAGCACCGGGACATTGTTTCTTGGAACACGATAGTGACTCGATGTATTTCAGATGGGTATCCCAGGAAATCGTTGAAATATTTCAAGTCGATGACTGGTTCAGGACAAGAGGCTGATAGTGTGACTTTTTCATGCGTTATCTCAGCTTGCTCTTCTCTTGAAAAACTTCCTTTGGGTGAACCCCTCCACGGGTTGGTTATAAAATCAGGTTATAGTCCAGAAGCTGAGGTCTCTGTGGCCAACTCCATCATTTCGATGTACTCAAAATGTGAGGACGCCGAGGCGCGGAAACTTTGTTTGAAGAATTATTGTGCAAGGATGTTATTTCTTGGAATGCAATCCTTAATGGGTTTGCTGCAAATGGAATGTTCGAGGAAGCATTTGGTGTTTTGAAGGAAATGCAATCGGTGGATAAGATCCAGCCTGATATCGCCACCGTGGTTTCAATAACTTCCATATGTGGTGATTTCTGTTTGTCACGAGAGGGAAGAGCAGTTCATGGTTATACGGTTCGCTGGGAGATGCAATCCAGACATTAGAGGTAATTAAACCTCAGGCTGACTTGTTGTTCAAGACAACAACAGATCGAGACTTGGTTTCGTGGAACTCGATATGATATTTGCTTTCGCGCAAAACGGGTTTACACAAGAAGCTAAGAATCTGTTCAAGGAAGTTTTCAGTGAGTATTCTTGTGATTCGTCTGACTCTC